AGCTCTTATGTAAAGACAACAACAATTCTGGGGACTGTTAGTGTGATCTGTGTTTAGTTTTAGACAGCCTTCTCTGATCTGATTTTTTTTTTCTGGAAGGTTCCATAATTTTTCTGCCATGTTGGCCAATACATCTGGAGGGCGTAAGGCTACAATAGTTTACTCTTGTGCTGCTTCCAGATTCCATCTCAAACACAAAGCCGAACTACATAATTATAAATCTTCAGCGATGCAAACAAAAATGGGCACAGGAAAAAAAATCTTGAAATATTTAACAGCTACAAAGTATAGCAAAAGGATGCTTTGGCATCATGACTGCTAAGCTGAATTACACTAGTGGTGAAATTGGGTCTGAATTTCAGACAACCCCAATGTCTTGTTGCAGAATCTTAAAAACTCGCGATATCTCAAATCCACAAAACGACGGTATAAAATAAACTTCATCCTATATTGATAGAAATAACCATGCCCTCAAATAAATGTAAATGTTGCCAACAAACTCTAAATAATCTTTGCAAAATAGTAGTTGAAGAAATCAGTCAGTCCAGGCAAGTCCAGAAAATAGCTATAGAGTTCAAACAAACTCACACTACAACTTGGAATAACCTACTGAAGAAGACCTACAAGAAAGTGTGGCATTTTGTCTTCAAATATATATAATTGACAGATATTGTTGTAAGAGCAAAATGAAAGACCAGGAGAACAAAAATGAAAGAAAAGTTACAATGAATTATTTAATTCAGACAGAACCCCCCTTAAGAATTATGGTGTTCAAAGACTGGAAGCAGATCTGACTAAAAGCCACAATATTTCTTTTTAGCATAGATCAGTTGCCATTTCCATTTCTAAATAGAATATATTTTTAAGCATACTGTACATAAAAATAGAATCACCGCAGAGTATCCAATCTCCGGTAGCACCTTGTAAATTGATGTTTACTCAGTTAAAACTGGGGACCTGAACTTAAATTAAGAATCAGCAAGCATTAACAATTAACATGAAGATGTATGCTGCCAGAATAAAAAGAGACCTCAAGTGCCATATTGAAGTAATTTCCTATAAGTTCTCAACTACTTCCAAAAACTCCAAATGTACCAACCCCTGCACTCCATGCTATTAAACCTAGCAGTAAGACAGACTGTTTTTTCCTCAGCAAATATATTCAAAGTATATGCCTCAGGATCTTTCCATTTAGGTTGTATATTGTTTTCTCTCTACTCTGTTCATCCTTCTCTGAAGTAACAATTATAATTGTCTCTAGAGAAAAACACTGCTCTTTATAATGCTGCCAGTGTGCTTCATAACTCTCGCAACAGTACTTTATAGAAAATATCCTGAGGGATTGTTATCATGGCTAATAGCTATATAAATCAAGTTTGAAAACCTGAACAATACGAGTCCAAATATTAACTGATGGATGTAAAGGGGTGGGAGTGGGTGGATGGAGAGGACCCTTGGCTGGCATCCTGTTCTCAGCTTCTCAGGTACAGGCATTAGACTTGAATCCCCTGATTTTCTTCCAAGGAAGTGTGTGTGTGTGTGTGTGTGTGTGTGTGTATCCTAAAACAAGCCCCTGGGAAATGAGGCTAAAAAAGCCATTGTCTGAAGTTCATCCAATGAAATGCCACCCAAGTAGCATTTAGTTTCTCAAGCACGCAAACTCCCTATATATACACATAATGAACCCATTAAGTCAGTGCTAATCAGGTGACTTCAAGACCATCAAGAAAACCACCAAGTACTGTATCCAATAACTTGGAAAGGTGAAAGAAAAATCTTAAAACTTTAGATCCCCATGCACATGCCTATGTAAGGGCTTGGATTTCTGTGTACTGCAGTGAAGAAATCTCTATTTGTAGCTTCATTCATCTTTGCAATAATGATTTATTCTTGCAGAGTCATACCCATAAACCTTTGCTAAATAAGTCAATTCCTGAATGAAGAATCTTTAGAAACCATTTAAAGCTCGACAATAAAGGGATAGGATTTTTCACAAATCACCAAGGAAATGAATATTATGGTTTTCATTATTTCATTTGTAGGCTACTTTTCACCACAGAAGATCAGCAGCCTACATATAACATAGCCTACAAACAAAGGAACAGTTCCTCTAAAGACAGGAAGCTCATTGGATGAACTTCAGGCAATGACTTTTTTTAGCTTCACTTCCCTGGGGCTTTTGTTTTTCGGGCGGAAAAAAAACTATACACAGTGTGCTTTCTTGGAGAAAAGTTGGAGAATTCAAGCACAAAATAAACCAGTAACATATTCATAAATAATACTGCACATATACAGTTCAACATTTATAGGAACCTGTCATGGGTATGGAGGAGATATAAGTGACAGGAAAATTAAAATAGAGAAACATGCACACTTCAATTCCCATTTGCTTCAGAAAAGTATGGATTTCATGTGGAAATATTACTGTTTAATCTACCATAAATATGCCTTAATTTTTATTTAAATTTGTGGTCTGTTTGCCACCAACATATCCACTGCATCATATAAGCAATGGCATCAAACAATATATGAGACAATAAACCTGTTATTCCTAATTGATGGAAAATTACGATTCCTGAGCCAAATGGTAATCATTGTAAGTATATATATTATGACATGCCTTACCTGTGAGATTGGCAGCATATAAATTTAATAAACATATAAAGGTACTTTAAACAGATTCACCTTAGCATTTTTACTGATTCCATTCATGTACCACCAGAATCATAAATACACCTTGCATATTAAGGCAGCTGTTCATGATTCCAATATATTAGTCTACATCCATTAGCTAAGATTTTTTAACTAGAAAGATTAGGGAGAAATCATTCCACAAACAGATATTTTATGACTTAAGTGATTCTTCCCCCTTGCAAAATAATGAAAACAATAAAGAATTCTGGATTTTGATCGTGATGGAAGAATGGGAAAGTAGAGAAGATACAAGAGATATCCTGTAATAAACGTTTAGATTATTATTACTACTTGTTTCATTTCTAAGACTCAAAGCAAACTGTCAACTTTTCATCTCACTCCGCACCCTATGAAACCATCAAAACTGAGTATGAATCAGCAATACTGTTTTACTTTGTAGCTATGTAAAATATTCTCTAATCCTTTTTAGAAACATGACATGTTCATTTTCAAAGAGTGATAGCAATTACATTCAAGCAGACCTGTCACAATGCTATTCCACAAGGACAATTCCAGTCATGGTTGAGAAAATCTACCTTTTCTTTCTTAATGGAGCCTATCACTCTTCCACTGAAGAAACTGGACCAAATCAGACAAACAGTAAATTACAGCACTTACCAAAATAATATTTTAAAAGGCTCAGCTCTTAACAAATTTAGTGATCGTAATTCTTTTTAAAAAATTATAAAAGCCCTTTCTAGTTTTTAACCCAATCAACACTATCAGGCACAGGTACACCGAAATACAAAGATAATATTCATTATATGTTAGTGATTTATTTTTTCTTGTTCTTTCATCAAATTTAAAATCTCAGCAAACTGAATGTTGAGTGTGTGTGTGTGTATGTATGTGTGTATCTATCTATCTATCTTATCTATCTATCTTATCTGTCTGTCTGTCTGTATGTATACACACACACACAAGAATACCTCCCTTTTTTTCCTATGGTGGGGATCCAAACTAAATTTTTACGGTGAATTTAAAACTACTAAATTATTCCAACTAAATTCAGCAAAAGGTTTCAAAGTTTGAGTGAGGATATTCCCTGCAAAAGAAGAAATTACAGAAAACCTTAAAATGCAATTAATTTGGAAAATCAAGTCTCTATGGAGCTTAGTTAACAGATTTTTTTTAAAAAAATCTATTAGAAAAATGTATTCCTTCCCAGATTCAGGAAACAAAATTGCTAGAGTCAGAAATAGCTAGAATTTCTGAAGCTCAGGGTTTCCAAATTAGCAACTGAACTATGAGGAGGAAAAGCAGCCAAAGAAAAGGACAGCTTTTCTTTCCATCTTTTGTGTTCCCTTCCAGTTTGATGCCACCAAAGAAAACCAAAACAGGCTCAGAAACATAACACAATACAGAAATCCCACTGCTTCAGCTTGGTTTACCGAATCAACCCAGCCAACTAGATGTGCAATTAGCATGCTAAGCTGGGTCCACAAAAACACACTTTTGCCAAGAGCCATGTTTATGGCTTATTATGCAGCGTACAAGCCTCAGAATTGGAAATAAACACATCCATTGAGAGGGGGACCTGACACCCTGATCTGGGTTGGTTTTTTTTTCCTCCCCCACCTCCACAGAATGATGGGCCAGCAGGAGGGAATGCCAGGCCCTCCAGAGGCCCCTGCGAGCCTTTGAATACAAATATATAAAAATATAACGAATGAATGAATGAATGCATTATATATACACGTCTTTTTCCAGGCGGCTTCTCTCCTGGGTGTTTAGGAGGAAAAAAGTGATCCAGAGAAAGCAAAAGGAGATTTTAATAGAGAGGGGAGAAGATGGGCTTCCTATAGGATAGGGTTGTTTTTTTAGGATGGGGGAAGGAGGCTGATCAGATTGGGACCCTTCCTCCTCCTCCTCCCTCCCCAATTAATCGTTCCCTTCGCAAAGGAGGTAATTAATAACCTTAATAAATAATCAAGGCTCCTTTTCGGCCCCACCCGGGGATCTGGTTTTCCTTCCCGCCCCTCGTTTGTCAGATGGAGAAAGGAATCAGAGCGCAAGAAAATAACAAGAAGAGAAGTAGATGATGAAGATGAAGATAATGAAGAAGATGAAGATGAAGATAGAAAGATCGAGGTCTCCTGCCGGAGCTGGATGGGAGCCAGAAACCGAAGCGAGGAGACCCCGAAGCAGCCGCCCCCCCACGCTCTTCCCCACCCTCCACCGCCTTGCCCGCGCGGGGGCTCATGGGAGTTGTAGTCTCCGCGCTGAGGCGAGCGTCGTCGCGGTCCCGAAGGGCAGGGCAGGGCAGGGCCGGACTTTGGGCGCTGGGCCGCCCCACCGCCACTCACCGCTTTGCTCGCCGAGGAAGACCAGCTTGAATTTCCGCAGCGGGTTGCCGAAATCCCCGCCCGCCGACATGACGACGAGGGTGGCGGTGGTGATACCGCTGCCGAAGGAAGAGGAGGAGGAGGAGCGGGAGGAGAGAAGGAGCCGCCGCCGGGTCTCCCCGGCTGACTCTCGGGGGGGGAGGAGGAGTAGGAGGACGGGCAGCGCCGCCTCAGGCCTTCGCCTCAGGCGCCTGAGGAGTTAGGCCTTTCCCGTCACGGACCGGGCCCGACGCGCGGAGGAAGGAGCGGCCGGCCGGGAGCTCCTCCGGGCGGGACTGAGGGAAGCGGCCCCGGGTCCAGCCTCGGCCACGACACCAGCTCGCCCGCGCCGCTGAGGCAATTACCGGCTCCGCCCGCCGTCCGCCTCTCTTCAGACCAGGCCCCGCCTCCCAGCCGGACCGGCCCTCCCGACCGCCGGCCGTCTAATCAGGAGAGGGGAGAAAGCGCCGCCCCGCCCCCCCGCCTCGCGAGGATTGGAGGGACGAGGAAAGGGGTGGGGTCGGGCCGGCGCGAGCGCCTGTCGCTGCTCAGCCGCTGGCTCCGACCGCCGGGAGGAGTAGGAGGGTGACGCCAGCAGGAGTAGTACGCAGGCGCCAAAGAGAGGGAGAACCAGGCCTTTGGAAAAGAGGGCGTGGTTTTGCGAGGCCTTGACGTCGCGTACCTGCGCGGCACACGGACGGCAAGCATTGGTCGAAATGGCCCTCGGGAGGCGGGTTTTGTGAAAATCGTTATCCGTTCCCATGGTTACTCGCACCTCCTCTCCCTGCTCGGGTCTCGGGGGCGTCCTTAATGGTAAAAGCTTCTGCAACGTGGCGCCCCCGACTATTATTGTTTATAATACATTTATATTCTGCCCATCTCGCTATAGACTAGGCAGCATCACAGCATCCATCATCCTCACCCTGACACCAAGGGAATCCAAGAGTTCTGAACTGCACTCGGATGATGAAAGTAGACAAATTGGGATATTTATATTATTATTTACTGTATTATATTATTATATACTGTATTTTATTATTATATACTATATTATACTAATACTATACTATATTAATACTACACTATATATGAATACTATACTAATACTGTAGAAAGTTAGCACCCAACCCTCTCCTAGAATGAAATATTTTGAGAAATATTAAAAAGGCAGAGACAGGGTATTATATTTCCCTGGATGAGAAATGGAGAAACATGTTTTTTTAGAGGGAGAAAGCAGCCCCCACCTTTCTTAATAACCCTCAGCGGATGTCAGCACTTAAAGAGATTAAAGAGATAGATGGCTTTATTCATAAGCATAAACTCACCCAAGATCCAACAAAGGTAGGATTAGCCCTCAGCCACAATAGGAATTCCCCAATGCCCCTTCATTTAAACAGCCAAATGTCAGTCCAAACTTCAACCAAACTTAGCTCAGACAAACTCTTAGGATTTGTACTTTGCCCATAGAGCCAGCCAATAGAATACACGTTCTTGCACAAGAACAGGAAGCTCAAGTGCAAAGCGCAAGAGAAGGTATAAAAAATCCCCACTCTCAACTCCACGTGTTCAGCTGCACCAGAGAACCATGGGCTTGGTGGTTCTGCTTCATCAATACATGCATGGACTCTCTTTCGTATCAGCCTCCTGTGCCTTTCTCCTGGCTTGGAACTGGACCTGGATATTTCTTCCAACAGTACTATATTAAATTGCAGTTTGAAATCTGTGAAATGCCTTGAATTGTTGGGCGATTGTGGTTTTCTGATAACATTTATTCTTTTCTCCTATATGCATGTGAGATTTTGTACCAAGACATCAAACGGGAGAACTTTCCCCTGTGCTGTCTCCGATTTGTCGGCAAGGCCATGTCTCCAAACTGGATTGCATAAAGTCCATCCCTGATTATTAGAACCTAGATAAGGTGGACAAGACACATGGTCAGTATGGATGATCCCTGTATGCTCACCCCGGGCTGTTCTATACAAATAGTCCTTGACTTACGGCCCCAATGGAGCCCAAAATTTCCATTGCTAAGCAAGACATTGTTAAGTGACATTGTCCCATTTTATGACCTTTCTTGCCACACTTGTTATGTGAATCATTGAAGTTGTTAAGCAAGTTCTTAAGCAAATCTGGCTCCCCCATTGATTTTACCTATCAGGAGATTGCAAAAGCTGATCACTTGACCCCAGGCCGCTGCAACCGTCATAAATAAGAGCTAGTTGCCAAGCATCTTAATTTTGATCGCGTGGCCATGGAGATGCTGCAACGGTCATAAGTGTGAAAGCAGGTGCCATTGTAATTTTGGTCATTTTAAAAAATGGCTGTAAGTCTGTACCTATATACACACACACAGACACAAAACACTGTTTTATTTAACTGGATCGGATTCTCAGTCTAGCTAAAGCTATTTTTAATTAGGCAATTCTATCCTACTGTGTTGGAGGTCAAGATAACCAGAAAGCTGCTTCGAAATGGCTTCGTCGTCCAAGAAGAAACAGGACCAACCTTGAGCGCCCTTGAGAGAAAGGGAGTAAAATCAGCAGAGCTTTTAGTTTTTAAATTAATGGCAGAGGGCATCTGTGTCTTTTTTTTAAAAAAAAAAGAATGAGAAAGCGGGCTCGTGAATGCTGGCCTTGCGAGGAGTGTGACGTTGTGATTGTCTTTTCTCTCCGGAACCCACGGAGAACGGATGGAGAAACGAATGAGGGCTGCCCAACTCCACCTGCTCTACGATTCCCACGCCTTTCAATCAAGTTTGCTGCAGAGCAAAAACTCCCCGGTGGATTGAGCCCATTAGCAGACTCATGGGTTGCTAAGCACCTGCCTCTGAGAACATCAAATCATCGCTACCTTTGCAGACACACATTGTTATGTGATTTTTATTTTTATTTTTCCCCCCACCCCCGCCCCAAGCTCTGGTAAACCAGTGGCGCAGTCTAATTCTATTCATAACACAGCCAACTTCTTCCGTGTTGTGCTATTCATCCTAATATTTCACAAGGGGGCCACAGCGGAGACCTGCCAATCAACCCTTATGGCATGTAGCATGACGGTTGAAGGCTCGAGATACCAATTCTAGTTCCACCTCGCCATCGTATCTTAGGTACCCCGACCACACTGGTCTCCGTTTCCTCATCACTTGAGCATCTTCAATCCTTTCGGAATTTCCTTTCTCTGGCCTATAGCGGCAATGAGAGAAAACCGTCGTATTTCAAAGAATTGAATGACGTTTTGATTTTTTTTATCAGGTTTTTTTTTTTCACCTCACCTTTCGTGGAGATGAAACAGTGTACGGATGGAGGGTGGGTGGGTTTCCAAAAATTATTCTCATGGTGCCTAGAAAACAACTTGCACCAGAACATCAGCAAGACAAAGGAGATGGTGTCAGACTTCTGGAAGAAGAGAGAGGAACCTGCTCCACTTTACATCGAGGGGGACTGTGTGGAGTTTCCTCCTTTAAACTCCTGGGAATCTACCTCAGTGAAGATCTCACCTGGAAAATCAAGGTGGGCAGAAAGGCCCAAAAGAGACTCCATTTTCTTAGGGTCTTGCAAAAGAATAAAGCGGGTCTCCTTTTACCGGTCCACAAAAGAAAGTGTCCTCTCACATTGCGTGACCGTGTGGTATATGCTGGCTTGACATCCGCGGATAGAAAGACACTACATAGGGTGGTGAGCACAGCACAAAACATTGTGGGCTGTTCCCTGATACCGCTAGATGACCTCGCCGGGGCTCGCTGCCTTAGAAGAGTGAGGAAAATCCTCAGGGACGACTCGCACCCCGGTCAGCACTTCGCTCTCCTACCATCGGGTAGGAGATAGAGAAGCATAGCCAGCTGCAACAACAGGCTGAGGAAGTTTCCACCCATGGGCTGTCAGACTCCTGAACGGAAAATAACTTCATGTCAACATAGTAGGATAGAGTTGTGGGGCCAGTGCGCTGTGCAATAAGCTCGTATGGTGCAATAAGTGTGTTAGTAGGATTCACTGGGTTAGGGATTTTTTTTTGTCTTTACTGCGAGTTGGGTTGGGGGGGTGCACGAAGGGAGACTCGGCCAATCTCATTGTACACATGTTGTACTCTGACAATAAAGGTTGATTTATGAAATTATAAAATAGCTCAAGGCAACAAGCCTATTTAACGCTCCTTTTTCCTATTTTCCACACAACCCTGTGTTGGGCTTGAGGGAGGGATTGGCCCCAAGTCACCCAGCCGGTTTTCATGTCTAAAGTAGGACTGTAACTGACAGACTCCTGGTGATTGACCCAGCCATTTTTTCACACCCAAGGCAGGACAACTCACCATCTCCTGGTGATTGGTTCAAGCTCACTCGATTGGCTTTCATGCCTAAGACAGGTCAAGAGCTTCCCGTCTCCTGGTGATTGGCCCAAAGCTTCCATGCCTAAGGTGGAACTAGAACTCACCACCCCCTGGCTTCTATGCTAGCCCCTTAACTATTACAACAGATTGGCTCTCCTTATTAAGAGAAATAAAGGTTTCATGCAGCGTGGTTGATTTTTTAAAAAAACTTTTCTTTATTGAATGAAGTGTGGAGAATGTTTACATAGGTATAAAACTTTTATTTGTGAAGTCTCCAATTTTCGATTCCCATCCGTCACATGCTATCCAATCAAGGTCAAGTCTTGCAGTCTCCTGACCACAGAAGGGCCATAAAATTTGGAGGTCAAGTTTTAATTAAAAAAAAAAGTGTGGGGTTATTATCTGGGAGCTTCTGCATAGAATATCACATAAGATGCCATTGGAAAATTGTCTGCTCTTGATGTATCCTTGCTGTCATTATGATAGAACTCCTGGCAGCTTATAAGAGATTTGGGTATCATCCTGGCAGTATGTGAGCTTTTTATATTATGTCTTTAAATCTGTTTCCTTGAGTTAATAATAAACCACATTTCTTTATTCACCTGTGTGCTTGTCTCTACATCCAAAGGAACAAATTGCCAGAGCACCTGAACATTGCCCTGATACTTGGCAAAACACTCCCCGTTTAAAACAAATAAAGCTGTACTTTTGCAGATTGCAAGATTTTTCTAGCCTGCAGATGCTTCTTTTAGGATGATATGGTCCCGTTAGCCTGATCAACTTCAACATTGACACACTGTGTTGCTGAAAGCTTATGGCACTTGCTTCCCAAGGCCTACCTTTTGTGTAAGGTGTGGCTAAGATGCTTGAAATGTATGTAATACTAAAAACCCTCCTGTCTGTTCGTAACCTTCAACTAAGCAAAATAATGCATTGTAGAGCAATGCTTTTTGAACTAATGTACCACAAATGGGTTGGCTTAAAGAATGCAATGAAAAGTGTGGGAACCCTGATTCCCACGGGATTAAAATGTCAAGGATTATCAGACTAGGTGTATCAGCAAAGTTATGGCTGCTACAGCATGGAGAGAATTCCATCACTACCAAGTACATTGAATACTTGGCTTAGAATGTGAGTTGTACTTTAATGTCTCAGAAAGGTGTAATTATTTATAAGTAATAATTAAAGAGAGCATAGGTTGTTGGAGGCTGCTCCTGGGTTCCCCTCACCTCTATAAACAATACTGTAAAAAAAATGGTGAGACGATGCAAGGAACCTTAGTAAGACCACACCTAGAATACCGCAACCAGTTTTGGTCACCACGCTATAAAAAAAATGTTGAGACTAGAAAGAGTGCAGGGAAGACCAACCAGGATTAGGGGACTGGAGGCTAAAACATACGACAATGACTGCTTCTGCCTTGGAGGTGCCTCTGGAAACAGCAAAGCAGTATTCCCCATGAATCTCTTATTTTTTCTGCATTCTTTTGGAGAAAGTTGGTTGGTTTGAGTGACAAACCCTGGCCAAATGTCCTATCTTTTCACATCTGTAACAGATGGCATTCTTGAACCTACATGCCCTTCACGGGTGATTGCCGCCACAACCAGCACATGCTGGTTGCCATTTTTCTGTGGCCACATTCCTCCCCTTGGGGTACCTGTGGCGATAGATGTCATCGTCCTCATCTGATTCACCGCAGTTAGCATCTTCATGGTGCACAGTGGCTGGTTTCTGCGATGCTGGTGGTCTGTTTGATTTGTGAATCTTTGCCCTTGACCGATTGGACATCTCAGCTGCATGTGCCTCATTGAGCGCCATCTGCAGGGTGAGGTCTGTTTTTGCAAGGAGGCGCAGGTGTAGCGCGACGTCCCTCATACCGCCGATCACTCTGTCCAAGAGAACATCATTTAAGTCCTTGAACTCACAATCCAGGGCTGCCTCTCGAAGGGCGGCAACATATTCGTAGATGGATTCCCCTTCAGCCTGATTCCGATGATAGAAGACATACCGACTTGCCATTTGCGTAAGTCTGGGCGCATAGTGATCCCGTAGAGTGTTCTGCAGCACGTCCCATGACACAGACGTAATGCTAAGTGGAAGGAGGAGAATCCTGGCCATCTTAAACATCTGTGGGCCGCAGTGGCATAGGAATAACGCCCTCTTTCTATTGTCAGTGATCTCAGCCAGGTCGTTGTCTTCGAGGAAGATGTTGAAACGAGCAAGGTAGGAGTTCCATGTGTCAGAGTCTGGGTTGTATGGACCAAAGGATACAGCCATTTTCCAAGAGACCGTTGTGAGCCCTGTAGGAAGGGAACCACTCTGAAACAGTGTTTCCATAGAGAAAACTAGGCCAGAAACCAAATAGATAACTTACTGCACCTAAACACAAACTTTATCATACAAATACCCCAAACTGAAGAAATAAAAGCTCTAAGCACAACAGAATAGGGAGAGAAAAAAAACTACTAAAGTTACTATAACAAACTATTCAAAAGAAAAGAAATTAAGGAAAGGAGGCATTTATAAAATACTAGCTCAATACCCGTGCTTCGCTATGAAACTGTGGTTGGGCTGTTTTTGGGGAGGAAAATAAGGGGGAATAATTCTGCCTCTGCCTACCAGCATCCATCGGTATTCATCTGGCTAGCGTCCTGTCAACATGGGAGTTGAAGGCTGTTTGGAAACTCAAAGAGTATTTGCTGTGCGAGCAAGGAGACTGGGCGTGGCTTAGCTCAACTGTTCTGTACTAAAGCTGCTTGATGTGAAACTAAAACTCCTCTCCTCGTGTTTTGCATTTGGAAGAGATTTCTTTCCAGGTGGGGAGGGGGAGTAGAACTCCTTAGCATCAGAGCGTGTTAATAATGTACTAAATACTAATAGCTCTTTGATGGTCATTTTGAAAAATCCTTTTAGTGAGCCCCTAGAAGCCAAGAGGAACATAGATGCCAAATTTTGAAGTTTGCAGGCTTTACGGTTCTGGAGATTTTGTGATGATGCTTGAGGGGTCGCTTTTACAAGATATAGAACATATCTCCAAACTTGGCCACTTGTAAAGACTTGTGGACTCCCAGAATTCCCCAGCCAGCCATGTCTGTTTCTTTTTTCTCTTAAGGTCCTAAAGTGGAGAGAGACTGCAGAGGAAGGGATTACCAGAGAGCAAGCTATGCTAGCTAGGGAGATTTTTATTTATTTTTGTCAATTGCTTACAAGATAATAGGTATAAGTAAAAACATAGTTACGAATACATGGATACATGTAAGAAAAATTAAAAAAACAGAAGAAACAATAGGACAGGGAGGGTAGGCATGTTGGTGCCACTTATTCTGGGAGTTGAACTCCACAAGTCTTAAAGTGACCAAGTTTGGGGACCCCGGATATAGTAGATAGGTAGAAGAGAACCATTACTAGGTACAAGAGATATTGAGAAACAGGACATGCAGGAAGAGAACTAAACCACGATAGAAAACAAACCCAAAGCCCCGCCACATTGCAAAAGAAAACAACCCCCCAAAGATTAAAACTTCGCTAAACAAAAACAAAAAGCCCAGGATGCTGCAAAAAAAAAAAAAAAAAAGAACACAAAAGATTACAAGGAGCAAATGTTAACCAAGGGCTATAAACAAAGATTAAAATTATTAAAAAAACGATTCAAGCACAAACACCTTCTTTTCCTCCACCACCCCCCCCATGGCGATTACACTCAGGACGAAAAGACGCAATGAAGTGGCAGCAACTGTGGATCATAGAATAACAGAGTTGGAAGGGACCTTGGAGGTCATCTAATCCAACCTTGTGCTCAAGCAGGAGAGTTTATACCAAATATTAGCCTCTACCTAGGTTCGAACTCCGGTGATTCAGCTCTGGTGATTCAGTTCTGAGTGGGTCAAACTGTTAAGTTCTGGGCGAAGAACGGAGGATATCAACCCTTTTGTTACCTGTGAGGTAAAATGACTCCCTGGCTGCAGCAGCTCCTTTTATAGGGAAACTGATTCGGCCAAACGACCAATCAGGAGAGAGTATTTTCCCGCTCCAATGGAGGACCAGATTGAGAACTTCAACTGCCAACTCTATACCCCGGGAAGGGGGGGGGGTCTCCAACTTTGGCCACTTTAAGCCTTGGAGGACTTCAACTCCCAGAATTCCCAATTATGGGACTTTGAAGTCCTCCAAGGCTTAGAGTGGCCAAGGTTGGAGACTCCCCTGGTCTATATACTGTACTATACTGTACTGTACTGTACTGTACTATATTATGCTATGCTATGCTATGCTATGCTATGCTATGCTATGCTATGCTACTACACAACACTAATTATTATAAACTTCTAATTTGGAACCTTAGGAAAGCAGCCCCACTGGTCACCTCTTCCTCTTTTTCTCTCTATGCTCACTTCTTAGCCAATCAAAACAGTCACTAACTGCAGAGAGGATGCTTCTGATTGGCGGCGGCAGGACAAACTCGTCCCGGAACTTGGAGCCTGCGGCACAGGGAGGAAGGGGGAACCAATTTAGTGTCGGACGCCGGACCCTCGGGAGAAC